TGTACTTATCAAAACAAGGACATTCAGGTTGTCAGAGCATAATATTGTGATATGATAAGAAATATGTATATATTTTGGTTTTCATGCCTGGCTCCTTGCCAGAACTCCTAAAACCTTTACAATTTCCACAATGATAAGAGTAATGGAAGTATTTCTTGGTTATAATATTTGGATTTTATCCTCAGTTCTTGCATTTTTAGTTCTGGGTGAAACCAATAAAAATATTTTTTAAAAAAAGGGCTTTCAATACCTTTAAATCTGAGCTGGCCTTATGCTTTATTTTTGACCAATAGAATTCAGTGAACCTAACATTGTGCCAGTTCTGAGCCTACCCACTCTTGTCTTGAGTCCTGAGATACACTTTAAAGAGCCCCAACAATCGGCTAAAGAGAGAAGCCCTGAAGGATCCAAGAGTGTACAGAGGAAGAGCGAAGCTTAACCAGCCATCAGCCCCGCTTAGATACCAGACTTTGAATGAAGTCTCTTAAATACTTCATTCAGCTTGCAGCTACACAAGATTGAGGCAATAAGCACCATGGGGAACGGAGGCAAGGTGTCTCTGCCCAGCAATGCCCAAATGCAGAATCTGAAAAGGTTGCTGTTGTTTTTAAACAAAAGAATTTGGCATGGTTTGCAATGCAGTAATAGATGCCTGAAATAGTCATCGGTACCAGAAATTGGGTGCTGCTACAGCAAAAATTGAAAATATATGTCTCAGCCTTGGAACATGGCAGAGTCTGGGCAGGCAATAAGGAGCCTATTAGTAAGAGCTGGAAGCATAATGAGAAAACTGTTATTAGAGGCTAGAAAAAGTAAATGCTTACTAAGCAGTGGTAGAAAAATTAGCAAGACTATCGTCTGCATAATTCAGAACATAATAAATGTTCCTGATGATGCTAAAGAAGGAACTGTTCATCTTTGAAGAAAAATTTAGAGAAACTACAGTGGCCCCAAGTATCTCTAGCTGATAAAAGATTCTCAAAGTAAGAAATGGGCATAGAGCAAAGATGCCAGTAAGACGGAACTGAAGGTAAAGATTTCTATTTACCTTTATGATGGGTGTGGCTGCAAAACCCCTTGTTAAAACTCTAGAAGAACTAAAGCAGCACCTCACAGATTCTCTCAGCAACACGAAAGTATTTAGAAGAATCCTAAGATTATTCTATAGCAGCCTGACTCACAGACGGAATATGGAAGGGCCTGCAAAGAGATGCATGGGTGTGACTTTGTCTCAACAAGTGAATTATAATACAGATGATAAAAACCAAGGTTTTAAAAGAAATTGTGGTAACTTGGGGGGAAAAAAACAGATAGTATCAGTTCAAAATGAAAGGAAACTTTGGATCCTTTCATAGGCAGGAAGTAGGCTAAGAAATAACTCAACTAGAAATAGGAGCCATTTCTTGCAGAAAAGGAAGGAAGTCTCAGAGAGCAGAACTAGAGGGCACACCGAGTCCTAAGTAGGAACATGTCCCAGCCCCAGGAGAGGGGCCCTGACAACTTGTCCAGCAGGATTTCAGACCTGCAGAGGAGAGAATCTGCTCACAGCCTTCACAGAATAACAGGTAACAGTTTTTCTACTAAAAAATGAGAAAGCTAGTCTAACTATATAAAATAAGATATTGAATAACAGTGCAAACATGTGACTTTGGAGAGTATGGAATTAAAGGAGATAAGTCTCATGATGACTTCAGGCTTGCACACAGAGGCATCTGCCAGACCCTGGGACAGAATGAGGACTTTAAAATAACAATAGTTTCACTGAGCTAAGGAGACAGAAGTTGTAGTTTGGGGAGGTAGAAGCGGCTGGAGGGCATTTTGCAAAAAAAAAAATCTTGAATTCTACATTGAGGTCTTCTTGAATCTTTGTCTAAATACCAAGTGTTTGGTCTAAATACTAAATAAACACACAAAGGGTAGAACTCCACAGGGTTAAACAAAGAACAATCACCAGGGGAAGAACAATCACCAAGGATAATAGAACAGAATAGAGGACAGAAAAAGAGAGAAAATCAGTGACACTAAAAATGGTTCTTTTAAAAGTTTAATCCATCTATCTATCTATCTATCTATCTATCTATCTATCTATCTATATGCCTAAGCTATATGCCTAAGCAGCCTTTACGACTGAACGACCGGTTGACCAGTCGCTATGACATGCACTGACCACCAGGGGGCAGACGCTCAATGCAGGAACTGCCCCCTGGTGGTCAGTGCGCTCGAACAACCAACTTCATGCACCCGGCCTGGCAACCGTTGCCTCCTCTCCCGACCCTACTGGGGCCTTTAGGCCCTGGGCTGGGACAGGGAACAGGGAGTGGGTGGCGGCAGACACAACCCCTTTCCCAGGGGGACCGAGGGCCGGCTTCCTCCTTGGGGCTGGCGGCCAACCTCCCGTGCCCAACCTCCCGCGCCCAACCCCTCTCCCCAGCTGGCAGGCCCCAATTGGCCCACCTGCCACAGTGGCAGCACAGCGGTGAGGGAAGGAGGATGGGCGGAGGCGGGGAACCACGCAGTGGCAGGGTGCCAGTGGCAGTGTCCGGCTTCTGTTCCTTCTGCACCCGGCCCAGTGACTGCCCCTTCTCTCCTGACCCCGCCGGGGCCTTCGGGCCCCGGGCTGGGATGGGGAACTAGGGGTGGGTGGTGGCGGACGCAGCTCCTTTCCCAGGAGGGCCGAGGGCTGGCTCCCTTCTCAGGGTCAGTGGCCAACTTCCCATGCCCTATCCCTCCCCCCGGCCGGCAGGCCCCAATTGGCCCAGCTCTGATTGGCCCTGATCTCTGGCCAGGCCTGAGGATCCCACCTGTGCATGAATTTGTGCACCGGGCCTCTAGTATATTAATAACATACTAGGGCAGTGGTCGGCAAACTGCGGCTTGGCAAATTGCAGCTCGTGAGCCACATGTGGCTCTTTGGCCCCTTGAGTGTGGCTCTTCCACAAAATACCGGCACTTCCACAAAATACCGACTTCTGCGCATGGGCCACGAAGTTTCAATCACACTGTACGTGTGCGCCTGCACGTGGCTCGCGAGCCGCGGTTTGCCGACCACAGTACTAGGGAGACTGATTAAGAAAAAAGGATGTCACAAATTGCTAACATCAGAAGTAAAACGGGGCAATCTACAGACATTACACAAAAAGTAAGATGACAATGAATTTGAAGTTATATGGAATGGACAAGTTTCATGACAGATATAAATGAAATGGTACAAGAAAAAGTTAGAAGAGCCATATCTAAAAACTTTCCCACAAAAATAACATCAGACTAGATAATGTTACTAATAAATTTGGTCAAAGTTTTATGGGAAAAATAATACAAACTCATACACTTTTCAGAAAACAGAGGAAGAAGAGACACTTTCCAACTAATTTTGAGGCCAGAATTCCTCTGATAACAAAGCTAGTCAAAAACATTACAAAAATATTTGGTCAATATAGGTCCAAAAATCTTTAACATATTATTTGCAAGTCAGATATAGTAATATATAACAAGGATAATATATCACAACCAAATATAGTTTATCATAGGAATATAAAGTTGCTTTCACACTTGCAAATCAAAGATGTCACTCATGACATTAACATAATAAATGGAAAATATATTAATAAAATACTAAGTTAAAATACATTGAAATAAAATACTAAGCTAAAATATATTGAAATATACTGAAATAACCCCATTTTTCAATTCTTAATATGGAAAAATCTTTGCTACACAGTGTTAAATTAATAATATTAAGATAAAAATTATTTCTTTTTTCTACTAAATTAGAGAAAGGAGGTAATTCACAAAATAGTAACAATGTTTAACTCTTAACTTGCTGTATACTTTCTCCTCTGGAACTTCCATTATTTCCTAACTTTCACCATGCCATACTTCTTGTTTCTTTGTAAATTTATTTTGGGTTAAGATGGAGGCATCTATTTAAAATCTAATGCTTCTTACTATCATAATAACAAATACAGTGGGGCCTAGACTTACGAGTGTCCTGACGAACGAGTTTTTTGAGATACCAGCTGTCTCTCGGCCGATTTTTTGCATTGAGTTGATAGAGTAATTTGAGTTAATGAGCTCCTTAACGAGCTCCTTAACGAGCTCGGTCTCAGAACAAATTAAACTCGTAAGTCAAGGCCCCACTGTAGTTATTTTTAAGTACATTGCCAATATCCTAATCTTATCAATATTTTTAATATCCCTTAGCTTAAACAACTTAAAAATCAAACAAGAGAAGACTTGTACTTTAAAAGTTCACTCTTCCACCTTAGTTGATTTGGCTCAATGTATAGAGCGTCAACCTGCAGACTGAAGGGTCCCGGGTTCGATTCCAGTCAAGGGCATATGCCCAAGTTGCGGGCTTGATCCCCAGTAGGGGGTGTTCAGGAGGCAGCCAATCAATGATTCTCTCTCATCATTGATGTTTCTATCTCTCTCTCTCCCTCTCCATCCTCTCTGAAATCAATAAAAATATTTTTTAAAAAGGTTCACTTTTCCTATGTTAAATACAGTTTTAATTTAGAACCAAAGAAAAATAATCAATAAAATTGTTTTTAAGGGGGTCCCTGACCGGTGTGGCTTAGTTGGTTGGGCGTCATCCCATGCCCCAAAAGGTTGCTGCTTCAGTTCCCAGTCAGGGCACATTTCCAGGTTGTGGATTTAGTCCCAAGTCTAGGGTGCTTACTGAAGACAATCAATCGATGTTTCTCTCACATTGATGTTACTCTCTCTATCTCTCCCTCCCCCCCTCCTCTAAAATCAATAAAAACATATTAAAAAACAAACAACTGTTTTAAGGGGGTAAAAATGCACAGAAGAGAAAAGACATCTGAAGCATCAAATCTTTGACTCTGCAACTTAATAAAAACAATCCATAATTGTGTGACCATGTAATTAACATCATCTATGCTATTACAACATCAATGACAATGTCTCAGCTCACTGCATCCTTTCAGTTCAGATTGAATTTCCCAGTAAAGGATGGTAGGTAAAATCTTAAAATCTACCTGTCAAATGATGGCTTCTCTCCACAGTCAAAGGCATCCTGGAGCTCCTTGACAAGGTTAGCCTGGCCTGGCAGCCGGAAGAGCCCCTCTTCCTTCAGCCCCCTCTGTCGGATGAAGTCCACGCACTGCTCCACCAACATGGGAGCCAGGCGGTTCCCATATCTCTTCTCATAACGGACAGTCTCCTCCAGTTTCTGCCCAAAAATGCCTGAAGAAATAAAAAATATCACAATGAATTTAAGAAATGTATCTCTTCCCACTCTGATGTTTTCTTTTAAAACTCAATGTAAAGGAAAAAAGAAAGATTGGAATGCTAGCAAGCATTTCACACTTGGTGCCTCACATTATTACAGAATCAAATTCAAGAAAAATACCTGTTGCATGTTCAAGTTATGGAATACCCCAGCGATGGGTGGGGAATTATTTTAAATTGCAAAAGAGAGTAAAATAGCATATCTTTTTTGTGCTCCAAAGTGGTAATGACTAAACTGTCCCTGTGTATGCCATGCAGCGTATCAGCATTTCTCTCATTTAAAACTCACAGGACTCTGTGAGGAAAGCCTCACCAACATACAATTTTATTGAGGAGGAGACTAAAGCATAGAAAGATTGAATAATTTGCTGAATGTCACACAGCTAGTAAATGGTGGAGCCAGGTTTGTTCAAGGCTGTCGGATTCAGAGTCATTCTGTTGGTATAACACAGCAGCTATAACACAGTGCTGCAAAGTATGCAGAATGACTAAAAACTGAGCCAGAGAGGAAGTAACCTGCCAGCTTGCTAGCTTGCCTACCTCAGTTCTTGTTGTCATACTAGGATGGGTGATTTCTGCTGAGAAAATGTAAATTTATGAGAAGGTCAGAAAAATAAAGAATGAAGCAAAAAACTCTGAATATTTATGAGTATGCTACCCAAGGAAACTCTTATTTTTATGTAAAGAGCTATGCCTATTTAGCAATATCATATGTGAGAGTTACGGTATGTAGACAGTAGTAACATATATTTAGAAATTCCTGTGGGAAATCATAGTTTCTCCTCTAGATCTAGCCTTGATAGGAATGACAATAGATGTACACTTCCCATTCTGTAGCATGGAAATAGGATGTCCCAAATGTCTCTGGCTTGCATGGTTGGCGTAAGTTAACCTCCTGTATAATAATTTTTTTTAGGAAAGTGAGGAGGGAAATTATGTTTTTAGTATGTTTTATTTACGATTTTCTTTGAGGGAGCAGTGAAACTTTAAATTTTAAAATTAATAAAAAAGAACAAAGGTTATGAGATATTCCCAACTAGCAGCATAGGAAAAAGACATATTGATTAATAGATTATTAAAGGAATATTCTCTATTACGTGAGTCTGCAAACAGTTCCCGCTATGCCCATGTAAATTCCCAGTGAGGTTCATACTCCCTGATAAAATCCTGCCAGAATTTCTGGGGTGATGACAGTACATCAAGCATACCTCCCCTAAAAGAACATTGTTGGTGCCATAAAGCATTACCGAGGACATGAGTTTTCATTGGACTGAGAAAGAAAATCACTCAGGTGAACTTATTATATCTGTGTGAGGCTGTTTAAACTGGAGGGAGAAGGAGAGGGGGAGGGGAGGGAGAGGGAAAAGGAGAGGGAGAGGGAGAGGGAGAGGGAGAGAAGAGAAATCTAAGCAACCTTCAGGGTTTGTGAGATTCCTCCTTTACTGTGATTTATAAACCAAATAGCTAGAGGCAGCCAGTGAAGTTAGTGAATGTGATCAGATAGATATATTCAATTCCATTAATCCTAAAAACAAATAAACAAATACAAGGCAAATCTTGGACTCTCTGCATCCTGTAATTTCTCTCTTTGCTCCTAGTATCCCAGGTATTACTCTGGCTTCAGTCCATCCCTTTCTATCTTCTTGCTTACCTACTGCAGTTTGGCCTGATACCACCATGCCACTAAATTAGCTTTTTTAGCCTAGCTGGTTTGGCTCAGTGGATAGAGCGTCAGCTTGCTGACTGAAGGGTCTCGGGTTAGATTCTAGTCAAGGGCACATGCCCGGGGTTGCAGGCTTGATCCCCACTAGGGGGCGTGCAGGAGGCAGCTGATCAATGATTCTCATTGATGTTTCCATCTCTCCCTCTCCCTTCCTCTCTGAAATCAATAAAAATATATTTAAAAATAAATAAATAAAAGAGCTTTTTCAGCAACTTCCTAGTTGCAAATCATTGACAGCTTAATTTATTTTTGTAATACTTTATGCCCCACTCCCCTTAAAATTAACAATCTCACTCTTCTTCCTGATACTGTTCACATGTCACATAATTCTTGCCTTCCAGAATACTCTTCCCAGTCTCCTTTTTGATATGCTACGTACTCCCCCTTCTCATAGGTTTGCTGGTTTCCTGGGTTATGTCCTCAGCCCTGTTTTCATATTACTTGTCACAATTCCTTTGCTGAACTCCACTTAATTTCACTGCATATCAATTATTCCCAGATCTGTGTCTCAATTTGGGCCACTCTGTGGTCTCTAGCATTACATTTCTAAGTGCCCTTTAGAACCCTCAACATCGATATCTCAAGTTCAAAATGTCTAAAACTGGCTAACTCATCTTTTCTTCAAAACCTGTTCCACTTCCTATAGTTCTGATTTTAGTTATCGGTTCCAGCGATCCACCCCCAAATCATGGAAGTGCCATCTGAGAGCTGAGCTAGATTCCTCCCTCCTTCACTAACCTCATTCACTCACCAGGCTGGTCCTTTCCAGGGTCATTACTACTATAGTGGGCTAGATCCTCAATATTTCCTAAATGACTTTTTGTAGAGTCCCAAATCCTAGTAAGTGCTGCCACAGTGATCTTCATAGTATTTAAAGGATCGTGTCATTCTTTTGCTGCATTTCTTCCAATGGTGCCTGCCACTGGCCAACCAAACTCCTTTGCATGAAATACAAAGTCTCCACAATGTGACCTCCGTCTTTTTCCACTGTCTTTTTCCATCAACAATGTTTAGGTGACATCCATTGTGTGCCAGGCACTGTGCCATATCCACCCTCATTTCTGCGGCTTCTTCACAAACAACATGCTAACTATATTGAACAATTTGTTGCTTTCTTCTAGAAGGTAAGACCTGCAATCATGAGTCAGCCTAGAAAAAGTTATCCTGCAAGATTCAACTTATATAATCTCCTGTGTTAATTAAGTCTTTATTAACATTCCCTCACCCCAGAGGCAAAGCTTGATAAATTTCTTCTTTGATTTCTTAACACATTCCCGTGTAAGAATTTCCTTAGATGACTCTCTGTACTGAACTAGTCCCTCAGTAGTCAAAAGAGGAATGTGTTTTCACTATTATTATAGTAAGAGAATTAGTTTTCATTTATTATTATTATACAAAATTTGTGCACTGGGGGTGGGGGTGTGTCCCTCAGCCCAGCCTGCACCCTCTCCAATCTGGGACCCCTCCAATCTGACATCCCTCTCACAATCTGGGACTGCTGGCTCCCAACGACTTGCCTGCCTGCCAGCCTGATCACCCCCTAACCACTCCCCTGCCAGCCTAACTGCTCCCCTGCTGGCCCGATCGCCCCCAATTGCCCTGCCCTGCTGGCCTGGTTGCCCCTAACTGCCCTCCCCTGCTGGCCCAGTTGCCCCTAACTGCCCTCCCCTGCCAGCCTGGTCGCCCCTAACTGCCCTCCCCTACCGGCCTGTCCCCCCCAACTACCCTCCGCTGCAGGCCTGGCCGCCCCCAACTGCCCTCTCCTACCTGCCATCTTGTGGCTGTGGGCACTACCATCTTTGAGGGCATGGCAGTCAATTAGCATATTCCCTCCTTATTGGCTGTGGGCACTGACATCTTTGAGGGTGGGGCAGTCAATTAGCATATTCCCTCCTTATTGGCTGTGGGGGTTCCAAAATATATCCATCACCCCAAGAGAAACCTCAGTAGCCATTAAGTAGTCACTCTCTCTTTCTCCCTCTAACCCTCAGAATGGCAACCGCCATTCTGTCTTCTTCCTCTGTGGATTTACCTATTCTGGAATCTTATCTTCAGTATTCTTTTGTGTCTGGCTTCTTTCACTTGGTATAATATTTTCAAGGTTTGTCAACATTGTAGCATGTTATCAGAACTTCATTCCTTCTTATGGTTGAATAATAGTCATCACATGTACATACAACATATACACCTTGTGTATCCATTCATCAGTTGCTGGACATCTGATGAATGGATGTCCCCACAGGTCCAAACCCACAGGTCCAATATGGTGTCACTCGTGCTAAAAGCCCATGCTACCGAAGCTAGATTTCACACCTGATCTGATTGCAGTTTCAGCCTCTCCCAGAAACATCATCCTAATCACCCAGTCTTGAATTTGCTGGTCAGGCACCAGTGACGGGACCTGTGCTGGTGGGCGCTCTCCATCCCCCACAGGAAGAAGAGGCAAACCCTCCGGTTCTCCTCCCCTAAGACAAGGTGCCTGGGCACAGGAATAGTCCTTTCACCCTGGCTCAGGAGTTTAGTTGGTTGGAGCATTGGCCCAATACGCCAAGGTCTGTGGGTTCAGTCCCTAGTCAGGGTACATACAAGAAGCAAACCGATGAATGAATGCATAAATAAATGGAACAGCAACTCTCTCTCTCTCTCAAAAGTCAATAAAATAGAATAATCCTTTCTTTTGTTTGTTAATAGCTCCCTTGCCCCACCCTTCTTCCTATAAAACTTCCCATTTAAAAATATATATATATATATATTTTTATTTCAGAGAGGAAGGGAGAAGGAGAGATGGGAACCGAGTGGAGGGGAGCTATGGGGGGGGAAAAGAAACAACTGTAATAATCTGAACAATAAAGATTTAATTTAAAAAAAGAAAAAAGAAAAACAGTTGTATACTATATATCTTATGAACTTCAGAGAGGCTTTGGTAATCTTTATGATGCCATATACACAAGGAATAAAATGGGGTGGTGGCATCAGATCTGAAGGACTCCAAGATTCACATTCCATTCTACCATGCTGCTCTGATCTGAATGTGTCTGTTAAAAATTCCTGTGTTGAAAACCCAAGGCCTGAGATGATGGTAGAAGGAGGCTGGGACCTTTGGGGACTGATCAGGTCAAGAGGGCAGAGCTCTCATGAATGGGATTAATGCCTTTATAAAAGGGATCCCAAAGAGCTCTTTCATTCCTTCCCTTTCTGTCAGGTGAGAATGCAGCAGGAGGCTGAAAGTTGG